TATACTTAAAGTAATCTTTAAGTGTACTTGTAGTGTACTTCTGATATAATTGAGTATACTTCTATCTTTAAAAGTATACTTCGTAGTATACTTAAAGTAATCTTTAAGTGTACTTGTAGTGTACTTCTGATATAATTGAGTATACTTCTATCTTTCTAAGTATACTTTGTAGTATACTTAAAGTAATCTTTAAGTGTACTTGTAGTGTACTTCTGATATAATTGAGTATACTTCTATCTTTCAAAGTATACTTCGTAGTATACTTAAAGTAATCTTTAAGTGTACTTGTAGTGTACTTCTTAATAATCAAGTCCACTATTTCCCATTTCACCTTTATGCTGAGAAAAGAAGAACATAGCAAAGTCATTTTGTTTAAATTTATTCAACCTACAGTGAGAATTTTACAAATTGAACATTATAACAAAAACAGATATGGATTTTAATTCTGTGTAGCATCCACTTGCTTGGCCGTTGATCCTTTTTTGAAGTTTTCATTGTTGCACTTCTTTCTTATTATTTTTCTTATATCTTGAACGCTCAAAGATGGAAACCTCGACCGAGCGTACCCTGTGAACACAAAAACAAAAATATGAACAGTTAGATGAACTCCATCCATCCATTTTCTACCCTTTAATCCATTTCTGGGTCAGGGGGGTGGCAGTCAGAGATGCCACCCAAGTCTCATAGCACCAGCCCCTCACTGACCCTCTGCAGGTGGTGAGTCCACAGGAGGACGGCTGCTCTCTGAGTGTGAGCATAGCCTTGATCTTTCAGTGGGGGCTTTGGGCAAAGTGGGGTTAAGTGTCTTGCCCAAGGACACAACGACAGCAGTCATCAGTGGGAGTCAATGGAGAAGGTGCAGAGGTGGGAATTGAACCCACGCCTCCTGGGCTTAAGGCCAATGCTCTACCAACTGAGCTACTGTCGCCCCTAGATGAACTCTGACACCACAAAATCTTAACAGTTCATACCTGAATTAATAATACTGCTGTGAATCATTTTTTTGAACATGAGATTAAGCAGACTTTTACATTTTGATTGATCACAATAGATAAGTTAATTTTGATATAATTAATTAATAAAAAGTAAGCATATAATGCTCTAACTGTACACCCACCGATGATGAAAAACGTATTGATTGGCAAATATGCAGCACAGGATGAGTGAGGCCACAGACAGGATCAGAACAAGGTATCTTGACCAGTGCTTTTCAAACATTTGACACAAAGTACCAACACATAAATATTTTATCTGAAAGATAAAATATTTATGTGTTGGTGTTATCTTATCCGCTCGTGCTACGTACATCAAAACAACAATGGAGAATAAAGCAACGGTGTAACGTACAATTTATTTAAATATTTAAAAGTACGTAAGTATACTCACCAACAATAGCATCCAATTTAGCAGCATCCAGTTGCGGCTTGGACTCCACATCTTTATGTGCTGCTGACTGTCTCCCGGTCAGACTTGAGCTAGCCAGCGTTTCTCTGCCAAAGATTAGGACAGCAAGGTCTCCAACATAAACTGACGAATTTGAAGTTCGGAGAGAGTTCAGCTTCATTTTGTTGACTTTGACGTCTGAGCCTGGCACCAGAGACACCTGTAAAACAACAAAGTTTATTTGCAATAGGTGGCGTTCATGTTCTACAAAGTGATGATGTCATAATGTCAGGTGGAGGGCAGGGGCCAATACAACTCTAAAGTCGTTTTGACCAACATCACGCCCCCTTTTTTTTTTATATTGTCTCCACTTTTGGATGCTTTTCAGAGATAATCGGACATTAGTTTATATGTGCTGACAGAGAAGACAATAAACTTTGAGACAGTTTCTGTTTCATGTGGATTTTCCCAGTAATGAGTGAGATATTAGCCACAAAATAAGACAAAGAAATCTGCAGTTTGCCAGTTACCATAGTTACTGTACCATCATGGAATTTTCAGCTGTCTTGCACCTCAAAAGTAAATTATTATCCTTTCAGGGTATTAGCATTTTACAGTAGACCAGATAATCACTTTTATGTATTTATTTATTATTTACCTTGTATGATTGTTCTGCTAAACTTGTTAGACCTAATTTTTTTCCACATTGTTCTGTTGTTACAGACTTGTAAAATACATTCACTTCAGCCAGATTAAACCCTGCTGGAACGTGAACCTGGACTCCAGTCTCTTCCGTCCCTCCTGCATTCTGACCGATCCACCACTGTTAAACCCTAAGAGCTAACCCTACATACAGTCCACCCCACCTTAACTATTTGGTTCTTCGAAAAGTCAATTCCTCCATTCCAACCGTGCATGTGTTTTAAAACAGGTTGTCGATGAGATGGTCTTGTATTTTAATTGGAAGAGTGCCACCAACTGATTATCTGGCACTGTGTGACATGAGCCATAATCTACCCCAAGAGCTTTACACTAGCCAAATTAAGAACATTTTGTAAACATTCCTATATTACCATGTCAACAGACTCCTCTTGAGGAGATGCAGGAGAGGATACAGGCAAGTGTTCAGATCGCACTAGTCGCACAGGTGTTGATTCGGCAGAGGAAGACTTTGAGAACGATGAAAGCTGCTCAGTTATGTGTCTTAAGTTTTGAACAACAGCTGGCAGGTCTGTAAAGAGAACAGAAACATTCAGTACATGTTTCTTTAAAATGCTTACGCCACATTAGATTTTTTCACAAGAATATAATCAACACAATTATAGTTAAGATTAATTATTAATCAAAAATAAATAAATATCTTGATCACTAATATATTATTATCATTGTTATTGATCATGGCCTGGGACTAGGGCTGAATGATTTTGTAAAAATTAAAATTGCATATTTTTTTTTACTCTATACAAGCAGCACAATTGGCTCATCTTCATCTCTGTGTAGGGTACTAACACAGTCCCGTCAGATTTTAGTGAGGATTTCTGTGACCAGTACGCAGCCCAGGACTCTGAATGGAGTGATTAACACGGTAGCTAATGCAACACTAACAGAGAAAAACCTTTGTCATTTACGGTGGTGGTTTAGCACTACTTAGGACAGAGGAAGAGGTAATCATACTGTATGAATGAGAAAATAATGAGGCAGAGTTCTACGGAACGCTCAGTCTTGGAATGTTCCCATTTAGGACATAAAGAAATGGCCATACGCCTGTTGCAATTAATAAAAGTGACATAAAATAAGATGGTGAATTTGTGCAAGTTTTAGAAATCTGAATCTTTAGAAAAAAATTTTTTAGCTACTTGGAGCTCCAATAAAGTTGATCCTGTTTTCACATGAAAATACTTTTCCCCTGCTAAAAATACAAAACAAAACAACTAAACTTACCCCTGATTGCTTCTACAATTTGTTTATAATTGCTTTCTTTGAGCCTTTTGTTCTCAGATTTTAATTGCTTGATTTGACGCAGTGTACTGCTCCAATTCCTGGGAGGCTCATGGTCCTCATCCGATGTTTCGTCACATTCAGAACGTAACTACAAGACACAAAAACACAAGCACAATAACATCAAGATAAAATGAAGACATCTATGGTCAAAAAGTGCTTGCTTTTTAAATGTTATTGTGATGGGCAGATGATTCCTCAAGGTGTTTGTTTCCCTTATTGTGTCAGTACAGAATTGTGTTATGATCCAATATATGGTACTAACGGCAACTTGCGGTGAAAAACATGATCTTGTCTGCAGCCTCAATACCAAGTTATTTCCTAAATTAAACAATAAATATACAATTTACCTCCAAGGCTTGCTGTTCCATTAGATCTTTCTTCAAGTCTTCAATCATTTGGTTTGAAGCCTCTTTTGCTGGACAGGATGATGAGGATTTTTTGGTTTTTTGCTGCCAAAGAGATATTTTACATTTTAGTATTTGCAAAGTGCTTCAATGTATGACAGTAAATATGAAATGCGTATTAGCATATAGAGCTATAATTTTAATAGATACAGTCAAGGCAAATTGAAACATTGACCATCATGTTAACAATATGGTCACAATATATTAATATTACACAACATTCCTTTTTGTTGAGGGACTCAAAAATCATTTGAATATATAGGAAAGATTTTCATTTACATGACATGAGGTGTATGATAGAGCTTCCTATGTATTCAAACTTTTTTCTAAATGTTTTACCTTTTTGGATTGACTATCAGGCTCTTGCTCTTTGTCCATCCACTTGCTGTTTGGTGTTCTCCTCCGTTTATCGTTACCTTTAGGTATTTCCCAGATATCCTTGCCTTTTATGAATCCCTCCCTCTTTTTACACAGATCAGTGTAATTGTCTATGAGAAAAATCATCAGAGTGCAATGTGATACAAAAATGTACAATAATGAACGTGTCCACTCAAATTTTTCACAGGCAAAATAACTTTTTTAATGACATTTAAGTCCTTGATTTTACCCAAAGTCGTGCAATGACTTATGCTTTTTAATGCCCCGCAAAAAACGTGTAACAAGCCAATTACTGTGTTGTAAAATTATTTTCCTGGAAAGTTATTTTGTTTAAATAAATATATAAATTATAAATCACACATATACTGACCACTGATCATTAGAATCTTGGCAGGAAAACTCAATTGGCCGTCTTTTTTCCCCTTCTGTCCGGGTCGCCACTGCACATTTACCCAGCCATCTTCATCCTCCAGATTAGGGCACTCTTTAAACGTTTTGGATGACATTTCCTTTTGGTCTTCCTCCTTCATCCATTGTATTTTTCCCACCTCTACAGCTTTGTCTTTAAAGTAATAAATAGCATAAGCCATGGTTACAGATAATTATTTCGTTGATTAGCTCCCTTTTTTTTCCTTCACCGCCAAGAGCGCGAACGGTTACAATTCAAGAGCGCGAATAGGCTCTCGCGAGATGTGCGCAGCTCAGTGTACGTCGGATCGTAGCACGTGTAGTACCGCGAGACTACATGTGCCCAAATGAACGCTGGGAAAGGAGAAGGCAGCGAGAAGAAGCGTCCATAATGGAGAATGCTCTCACATTTTCGTAGCGTAAATCATGGCAAAACGTTCGGGATCCTACAAGAAGTATTTGGAGGATGGCACAGAACGAATCCCGAAAAGAACACGGAACAGATGGAAGCTAGCAAAAGTAAGTTATGTTGCTAATTAGCAAAAGCTAAACAAAGTGTCTACGATGCTGTCGATCTATTTCACGTGTATTTGATATAGTTGTCTGGTTAAGGGTATGGCCTGGAGTTGGAAGACATTTGTTTATGAACTATTGTGAAGTTAAAAAACGGATAAAATTTAGATTAAATATTGGGGATTAGGTTTGTGTAGCATTATGACATGATCAGTTTAAAACAACATTAAGCCTACGTGCTTGAAATGAACATTAAAAAAATGTCTGTGAAAAGCGAAACAGTGGCGTCCATGTTCACTGGAATCTTGACAATTTATCAGAAGGAGAATGGAATCGCAAAGAAGACTGTTCTATAGACCCTGTCAAAAAACAAATTCCAATTGTTCTAACATGTAATGGCTGAATGCCTCCAATTTAATTTTGCCGAGCTAGTTAGCTCCGTCTAATGCATTGAACGTGACACCCCAGCTCCCCAGTCCACGGCCTGTGTACGTGGCCGTAGCCATGAATAGCAGCGGGCTGCGGGCAGGCATTCTGTTCTTTGTCTTCACTGTATTATCCAGCCGACTCTTCTTGTTTGTTTATAAGGCAAGGTGTTAGTGGTACTAACGTAATCTACTGTAAATAAGATACATTATGAAAATGTAGCTCTTGCTTTAATCTGTTTCAACATGTCATTATAGCTGCATTGTGACTGTCGGTAATTTCTTCAAATGCAGAGACGCAAGGAGGCTGTCCCCAATGAAGAAAACAATGAAGATGATGATTCCTTGCAAAATGTGGTCAGTATTGCAGTTTTACAATGCTTTATGAAAGTTAAGGGCAACTAAAGTGTATTGGGTCAATGTAAGTATTTCTGTGAAACTATTAATGGTTTACAGAAATTGAGTTGGCAAAAGCAACGTCATGAACAACGTGCCTAGACGCCGCCATATTAGTCTACAGAATGACACTTCAATGCAAAAAGACTCCAATCTGAGTCTTTTTGCATTGCATTTTGACATCATAAAGTCCTTGTTTTAAGGTTCTTTTTGAAAAACACTAGGTATAACAAAAAAAACTTTGTTCAAATACTTACAAAACGCGTATGGTATTTTAAGGTACACCTTGAACTTTTGTCATGTTTACAGCCATAAACAAAACATTTATTTTGAATTTTTTTACTGAAAGTTCACACACAAGTAACAGACAACTGTGAAGTGAAAGCAAAATGATACATGATTCTGTTATTTTACAAAAAATAGAGAAAAAAAAGTTCATACAGCATGAATTAATACTTTGTAGAACCCCATTTTGCTGCAATAACAGCAGCAAGTCTTCTGGGGTTTGACTCTACAAGATTTGCACATGTAGAGACTGACATTTTAGCCCATTCCTCTTTACAAAACAACTCAAGCTCTGTCAAATTAGAAGGAGAGCGTTTGTGAACAGCAGTTTTCAGGTCTTTCCACAGATTTTCAATAGGATTTAGGTCAGGACTTTGACTGGGCCATTCTAACACATTAATGTTTGTTTTTAAACCATTCCATTGTAGATGTAGCTTTGTGTTTAGGGTCATTGTCCTGCTGGAAGGTGAATCTCCGCCCCAGCCTCAATTCTCTTGCTGACTCCAGTAGGTTTTCCTCCAAAATGTCTCTGTATTTGGCTCCATCCATCTTCCCAACTATTCTTACAATCTTCCCAGTCCCCGCTGAGGAAAAGCAGCCCCATAGCATGATGCTCCCCCCACCATATTTGACACTGGGGAGGGTGCGCTCAGGACCATGAGAAATGTTACGTTTGCTCCATACATAACGTTTTGCATTTGGGCCAAAAAGTTAAATGTTTGTGTCATCTGACCAAAGCACCTTCTTCCACATGGTAGCTGTGTCCTCCATATGACTTCTAGCAAAATTCAAACGGGATTTCTTATGGCCTCATTTCAATAATGGCTTTCTTCTTGCCACTCGTCCATGAAGGCCAGATTTGTGTAGATTTGGTTGCATTCCTGACCAGTGCTCTCCTTGTTATGTCTGTTAGTTTAGGTGGACGCCCGTGTCTTGGTAAGTTCGCAGTGGTGCTATACTCTTTCCATTTCCGAATGATGGATTGAACAGTGCTCCGTGACATGTTCAAATCTTGGGAAATCTCACGATGTTGCTTAGTGACCAATACACTCTGACCATAGCTCTGAGGCCTTCACAGAACAGCTTTGGAATTATACTGAGAGTAGATTACACACAGGTGGCCTCTATTTAATGGTTAGGGCAAGGTGTGAACTTTCTGCAGTCATTAGGAATGTTATAAAGGCAATTTAATGCACTCAGAAAAAAAAAGGCTGTATGAATACTTACGCACGCCCCACTTTTAAATTTTTTGAACAATAACAATCATGTATCATTTTGCTTTCACTTCACAGTTGTCTGTGTGTGAACTTTCAGTAAAATAAAGTAAGTGTGTAATTTTTCTTCACTTTGAGTAACACTTTCTCTGTTATTACACTAAAGGTCATACACGATAAAAATTTCACAGAAAATGAAGATGAGGAAAACTCTTCTACTGGTTCTCAAGAGGTAAATGCATTCATGCACCACTTTCACTTGAATTAATATTCTGCTCCAAACTCTAAATCTTAATTTTTTACCTGTAGATCAAAGAAGACAGCATTGAAGATGAAAATGTGGAGACTGAAGACCTGGATTTCAACGCAAAAGAAAACGCTCCTCAATGTGCAATGGTAGGAATTGCATTGCTTGACAATGGAGGAATAATATCCCAGCCATCAAAACAATGTAGGCTCCCCATGGGTTTGCTCACCTGGGTTATATGTGGGTTTGTCTGCATTTTCCATGTGGGCTGGACCTTTACAAGTCAAACTTAACCCTTTCTAGTCTGGTTTTATTATTTTTAGTCTTGGAGCTTAGATCTTGGTGTTTGGTCACATTTGAGGCCAACCCACTCTGAGTCAATGTGATGTTTCTTTTTTGTTTTTTTTTTAATGGCTTCAGAGTTGCAGTGACATGATGCTCTTTTCTGTAAAAAGGCTGAGGCCTCATTGCTCTTCAGTCACAGACTGAGAAGTGAAGAAGGAAGTAATGGAGATTCTGCTTTAGAACATTACACTTCTCCTGGATTAACAATAAAAGATTGAAATTAAAGTATTCCTAATTAATAGGTTTGACATTTCAGTGATTTTAAAATGTCAGTTAATTATTAGCTAACACTCATTCTACAAAATACAAACCCTTGTCATTGTATCTGCTGTAGAGTCAATGTTTGTCCCCAGATCCTCTGAGTTTGGTGCAGCAGGACTGATGTGGACCAGATGTTACAGGAGAAGCTCATGAGGTACATTTCTTCAACGGGATACTATGTAACTATTTGTCTCCAATTAAAAGTAACCTACACAGTCCAGTCCATCCGTCATGGTCCCACTCATGACCTACCACGACCAGAGGAACTGGGACACATGACTCTACTCAGATAATATATGGATGTTTGTTTGTCTTTATCAACCTTTTTAATAAGCATTGAACATTGTGTGCTTTAAAAAGGAAATAAAGTGGTAATTACAATTTCATTCCATTCTTAATTTATTATAGCGACATACTTAAAGATTCAGAATTTTGTTCTGTCTAAGGCAGAAGCTCCATGACTTCCTTATTTACACTTCGCCTCCTGCGACTGTAGAGCAATGCGGTCTCAAGCCTTTTTACAGGAAACAAAGAGCACATATGTAGTCTAGCATCATGCCGGCTTGCTCCGCCCCTCTCCCTTGGTAACACAACTGAGTTGATGACCCTCTGATACTAATTAACTCAAAAGCAGAACCAACGCCAATTATCACCCAGGTGGCAAGAGCCCACATTGTTTTGATGCTGGGGATCCATCCACACCATGGAAAGGGCGTGGTTTTAATACTTCCCATTTTATTTTTTTGTGTTTATTTTTTAATGGCTATCTCCCCTCTTTAACCCTCTCTTTGACAAGAATGGTAGGGGGCAGCTAAATGCAATAGAAAGTAGATTTGCACTTTCTAATCATGGACGATATAAAATGCTGCAACTCCATTATGCAGTTCCTAAGGAAAGCCTACGTCAGGAGGATGACGTTGCCCTAGCACTGAGTCACAGAAAGGAGTTGAAAAATAATACTTTGCCTTAAACATATCACAATTTATACTTGATCCATGCGACAGACTAATGGCCGTTATTATCGTGTAAGACAACAGGGGGTGCTCTTGTCTACAATTTTGTCTGCACGCCGAGCACACTATAGGAGGAGGCGGAGCGAGGAACATAAGATTAGCAGGCATAATTGGATTCCTAAATGTTATGCATTTGCCACCCGATTGTAGTTTGTGCAGTATTCATTAATAGAAATAAACCATTGTAGCCTCCTCCAAAACAGAAAATTGGTAGTTGGGCATGGTGTATAACTCTCAGCGGAACACGTGTGTCAATTTTAAGATGAATGGATCCTTGAGTCATCTGCTGTAATAAGTAAGTTGAGGTGATACTATGTGGGGCCATGCATTATCCTAGATGATAAACTGCGATATTTCTGCACAGTTTAAGAGACATAGATCCTGCTTTGGGATTTGAAAATAAGATGCATAAGAGAGTTATTATTTTGAGTGGAGCTGCTGGGGGGTGGGATTGGTAATTTACTGAAAACTTTTTTTTTCCAAACTTCCAAATATGGCAACTATTAATCATTTGGATGTACTCTCTCACCTTAGGTCAATGAAGATGGGAAGATGTTGGCAACAAGCCCTTGTATCGCTGGGTGCCTGCCGGTCTTCGTAAAGGACGCAGCACTTTAGCAGATCTCATGGTGACCCTTTCTGTGCGGCACAATTGACTGTGAAGGCGATTGCCTCATTGCTGGAAATAGCTCAACATTGCATTTCCTGGCTTGATCCATCCTCCATTACCTGTTCCATAAACGAATTTGGGAATCCTCATCTACATATGAAAGTACACTTTTATTGTGAACGCAGTTTGAAATACCTGGCATTCGACTGAATGTCCCCGTGAATGTGATTCTAGTAACACACCATTTGATTGCAGACGAACACCTGACAAAAAGGGGGTCTATCTTCTCAGTGATTACCATCCTGCGAGCGCAGATCAAACAACTCCTGACGAGCACAGTGTACGCTTACTCAACATGATCAAACAGTTAGGGAATTCTCTCTGCTATACGAAACTGGCAAGGAGTACCAAAAGTGTATGCGATAGTGGAGTTCTAGATCTAAAGCAGAATGATGCTTAAGACTTTCATTGGAATGTGATGACGGAGCACCAGATCATATCAAAATTTCTAAGATGCAGGCATTTGGCCAATTCAGTGTCAGGATCCTTGAATTAGCCCCGGCTGAGCGAAGAAAGCACATTTGTATGGCTGCAGTGTATGGGTTTGGGCCTAGCAGGGGTGCCCCCCGCCTCACGCCCCCCGTCCCCCCCTCCGCCCCCCCCATCAAGTTTACATTGACTAGCCCCCCATTTGTAAAAACGCCTCTTTGGTGTGGAGACCGAAGGTGTAGATTGGAAAGATGAAACATGGGAAACCCTCATGTGTCTAAAGTGTATTGCATCCCTTTGTACGTTCTGATTCAGTGGCGCGAGCCTGTTGCTTCGAACACAAAGCAGTTTAATGGTTTTTATGGATGAGATTTTGTTTATACACCAAAGGCGGCAAAGCATATCCATGACACCAGACCGTAACCCCTCTGCGTAATAGAAGGATCATTTTAGCGACGTCATGCACTGTCAGGCAACAGTGGATGCCCTGTATTTTGGAGTTAAAGGGCCCATCCCTTTGATGAGGCTGAGTCACTTATCAGATATACATGGCTTCATCCGAATATCAACACAATGTGTGCCTGGTGTCACCCGACAGCTGGCTACTCAATGAGATTTGAATTACCTACGAACAGTGAGTGCTTCTGGTACATTGTAAACAGATGGAAGAAGGTTGAGAGAGGTGCGCGCAGACTTGAAAGAGATAAAGCTAGGCCGGAAGTGTAGATAAGCAAAGTGAGCAGAGCGAGCCGACGAATAGACTTTCAAGGACAGGAAATTTTCTCGGAGGCTTCGGAGTGGCAGCTTCCGTAACTCTATTGTATAGCGCGTTAGGCGCAACGTATAAACAGGAGGATGTCTATGGGGGCGCGTGCAGAGCAGAGTTTTGGAGATAAGAGTCTGTTCCTTTTGGTATTTGCATATACACATTACTAGCAGGACGAGATGCCAGAAACGAGCAATCATGATGGCAAGAACTGGCACTACAAGACCATTTGTTATTGACTGTTCAGAGACTGTAAGGAAAGACCGCATGACTTTCAGTATCGCAATTGCTTTTCCATGTAGCGACAAAGTGTTAAACATGGGGAACCTTTTATGCTACTTCGAACTTTTCCAGTTCCGATCCAAGTATGGGCACTCTCTTAAATAGTTTTCATGGGGATAACCCCAATCTTCCCGTTGCAAATGTCCAGAACATTTCTGTTGGTGGAGAGAATTACCGGAAAAAGCCGAAACCTACCATGAACATCTGAAATCTGCAGAAGGTAGAGTCATTTTTAGGTTGAAAGAACAGTATTCCCTATGACCGAAGAAGCAAAAAATGGTCATAACTTAAGGGAAAAGTCAAGGGTTTTGGTCATCCTCCTTGGCAGGGAAAACATCCCGCTTGCACATGGGCTTGCCATTGACAAACGTGTGAAAATCTAATAACTGCTTCTGGTAATCCAGGCACGTTTTTTGGTTAACAGGCAGTTTTGTTTCAACAGTCCGAACTTATGAACGGCTGAAGAAAAGATTCAACATGTGCCTAGTATCTTTGAATGATGGTCAATTATGTTTAATTAATGACCCTTGGTTTGTCTTTAAAGAAAAAGTGTGGGCACTATAAAACCCGTGAAAACACGTGGCATGAATCAAACATTCGTGAGTGTTAGGTAGAGGAGCTGAGTAAATCTACCAGCCCTAGTGAAACGATTCCAAGGCTAATGTAGAGAGGACTTTCCATTCACGAAGTACGAAGACTGGAAACGTGTATGCAATTTGCCCTGAGAACGATAGTTACAGAAATGTGTCCTCCGTTGAGACCGATAAACTGTATTTTGTACCGCTGCCAAATCCAGCGAACGGGACTGAAAGAGTCTCATTGTCTTTAAATGTTCCCATTTTCTGAGGACATCATAAACTTACCTGAAAAGTTGTTTGTTCTCCTTTTTTCCATCGTTAGAAAGTAGGTGGTTTTGTGTACTATTTAAGGCCGGACACTGTTTGAAATAAAAGGGTTATAATGACACTATGTAGACTTAGTAAAGGAAAGAGTTTACTTAGGCGTATAGTCTTAAGCACATACATGCTTGGACCTTTTGCAAAAAAAGAACTGACAAAGATCAGATCAAATTTACCACATCTTGCAGTATCTTCAACAAGTCCAGCAATGTGAACATATATCAAAAGGATACAATCAAAAAAGAGCATTAGCAAATAGTTTAATATTAAACTTAATAAGATCACCTCAAGTGCAAGTATATATCTAGAATGTAAACTTAGTTCTAAGTGATATGGGTATAAATACTATAGCCTAATTTTTAATGTACTTAGACTGTTACTTGCAAAGTCTACTTCTGGTAAGTAGCAGATCAAGTACAAATATATGTCTAAATGTAAGTAACACTATTGAATAAGTACACATACAATTACAATATGCGACAATCTATATTACTATAGCTTTCAGGATAACTTTTATAAGTATACTACGGTGCACAGGTATCGTCTAAATGTAAGTAAACGTGATAATAAGTATATATATAAGTATGCTTAGTTATATACCTTAAAATTTACATAGTAAAGTATACTTTCTGATAAGTACAGTGAAAGTAAACTTGAAGTATACTATATGCTTTTTAAGTGTACTACCAGTATACTTGAATGTACTTCTTTGGGAAGGGTTTTTACTCTCATCGACGTCAGTGACACAGGCCGTGCCGTGGAGGACTTAGAAAAGTGCTGGGGGTTTTATTGACATGTCTCTCTCAGCTCAATAATACAAGCAAATGACTGTTTAATGTTTACTGCAGTCAAAACCAGCCGCACTTAATTACCAAACAAGATTAAGGCTCGAGACGAGACCGAGGCGCGCTGAGTGAAAGTGAGCACGCATCGGAGACCCATTTCATTCTGTTTACACACAACTTTAAACACATTTTTTCCCCCGACATTGATCTCCCTGACTGCACTCAGAGTTTACACAAAGCTTATTAGCTAAATTAAACTTCTGGGTTGTATACTTCAAAGCAAAGGGAGTCATTTGTCACACAGTTCTGTTTAGTAGTAAGTAAGTAGTAAGTAATCTTTATTTATATCCCGCCCTTTTCACTGCAGGGATCGAGTCTTCCAATCCGTTTACAATTGGTTAATTATTGGCCTTGTTTCTGCACGTACCCCACAGACTGGGAGCGGGGTCGCCAGTTACCGAGTGCGCAAGCTAGACACTATTTGGATCAAATATTTTTAGTGGTAGAGGAATCGCGTAACCCGGAAGAAGACCTTACGCAGACACAGGGAGAGACATGCCAAACTAGCACACTCAGAAAGGCCCTGTCCGACCGGGGATTCGAACCCATGGACCTTCGTTGGCTGAGAGGCCAGAGGTGCTAATCCACTCTGCCACCGTGCCGCCCCAAGTGTCGTTGGAATTATTGACATTGTACTACAGCCTTGCCGATGTATTTAAGACGGAGTAGAAAGTGATTATATTAACTCCATCCCACAGTGGAAAAGTGTTCATCTCAAATTAAGAACAGATAGGAATGTGGACAAATTACAAGATACCTGACAGTACAAGTATGACTAATTACAATAACCCCAAATCTCTAACGTCTCAGCAACAAAGAAAACCAGTATCAATCTCTATCTTGTAAGATAAATTCAACATACTTAACATACTGCTGCTGTAAATAATTACTGCAGCAGCATGTAAAAATCTTGTGGTACTGCACTCTCCCTGACTCAGGTTGCCAGATATGCAGATGAATCCAGCCATACCGTTTTAGCTGAGTTTTGTCTCAAACAAATCTACAATCAACACCTTTTTCACAAAGTTTTCCCTGATAGAAATCCTTGTTTTATTCCTTGTTTTGTCAGTAATGATTTGAGAATCATAACGAGACCTTTATAGTTCTGGGAGCCGGGGACATGTTACCATACATTTTGGGAGGGGAGATAGCTCGACGTGGAGTTCATGCAACCCGAATCCCCAGACTTTCTGGAGTGGTCACGTTGCGTATTGAGGGCAGGACAACAAAATGACCCCCCCTCCCACGCTTTCGTGGCTGGTACCATTAATAATGCAATTATGAATATCCTAGGATAGCCCTACTTATACTTTAGTTTAGAAAGAGCAAGGGTTTATTAACGCCTTTGGACGATTATGCCATTTCCTGATGACTAGCCATGAAATCTCTACATACTGCTTCTTTACGCAAGTATCAAAACTTATAAAAAATAGAAGTTTACTCCTGTAACTGTCCAACTTAGCTTCATCATAGTTAGCTACAAGCAGCCAGTATGAGTTAGTCATTCTTACCATTATGGGATCAGTGAGTGTTTACTGGTAGAATGGAATTGCATGTTACGGTTATCATATCTATGAATGGTGAATGTGCTCAGTCCAAAGTACAATCTTGGTAACCTACTTTTTGAGTGTCCAAATCCCCTTAAATCCGTGAATTCAGATCAACCAGTCTCTAACCACAAGTTGGGTACCAACGAGTAAGTTCATGTATTTTTGGCTATTCTCCGAATGGTGGGGCGTGTGTCCATATCACTTTGAAATCCAAACCTGTGTGGTCTAAGCTCTTATTTCCATTGTGTTGAGTGACCTGGAGATCTACCCCATTATCACCTGTGGCTTTCTATATGATAAGATTTTAGTTTCCTCCAGTTTACCCGCCCATTAATGGTAAACCTCTGACTAAGCCAAGAAACTGCAGCTCACATCGCTAAAAGCAACCTCAGACTTTGAAGAATGGTTGAACTTGAAGTTGCTGAGGGCGCCATCTTATTGATTTTAGTTTTATTAGTTTCCATGGAGCTGCAACAATCAACAGCAAATCACTTCTTTGCAAACTATACATCTGTTTTTTTTTTTTACGCCGCTCGGGGGAAGGAGAGCAGTTTTGAACTGTTATGGACAAAAGAAATTAAAAATTCACACACACTCAAACACCACTTGTGACTTTATTCGTACAAGAGTTTGTGCACACTCAACAAAAATCCAGCACAAAACTTGCTGAAACAATCACAGTCAACACCTTGCATAAACAGGGGCCAAATATTCCTATTTTAGCACAAATTCATGGGGTGGGGGGGGGGGGGTGGGGGGGGGGGGGGGGGGGGGGGGGGGGGGGGGGGGGGGTGGGGGGGGGGGGGGGGGGGGGGGGGGGGGGGGGGGGGGGGGGTGGGGGGGGGGAGGGTGGGGGGGGGCTGCCTCAAACAAGACTTGGCAATGGGGCCAAATTACATCTTATCTGTTTTGGAAAAGATACCATACACTTTATTCTAGTATTAAGCCCGAAATACACCAACAGAAGTAATCTTCAGAGGACTTAAACTCAAACCATTGAAATCCACCACACACAGAGCAGAGACTCAGCAGTTATTCGACACATCACGAATAAAGAACACATGTCAAAAAATGTCCCCTGACATGTTGTACTGAATGGGTGGAAAGTGTCTTGGATCATCACCACATCCTCTCTAGTTTTGTACAGTTTGAGAAAGGGATCCGCTCGCCTCCGGACGGACGGGCTATAGATCCAGGACCTAAGAGCTACAGAACGTGGACGCAGTGGTCGTTGAACGTGGACAGGTCCGGTGGCAGGACTGAAGCACTCCCAGCGGGTCGGGCGGGGCAGTCCGCAGAGTGTAGAGGGAGGAGGCCAGGTCCAGAGCGGCGTCCCGTCGTCGTACCATGAAACAGACAATGGACAACGGGTGAATAGTCAATGAACAAACGACAGTCAAAAATCCTAATAATGCTAAACAGATGAAAGTAGGGAAGGAGGAGAGGATAGTGCTCAAGTTACCATACTTCTCCCAGCAAAGCTGACTCCCCCTATGCAGCTTGACTGACAGTCTGAGGAGTTTAGCCTTCCCTGAGTCTTACCTTCCTAACCCATGATGCTAAACTAAAGAGGACTGTTTTAGCCTAGCCTAGAACGTAGGGTGAAGATGCAGCAGACCGGGTCCAACATACGCAGACTCCAAGACCGGATGAAACCTGACAGGACAACAACCTAACCAAATGCTAAGTTGAAAAAGAGTGTTTTAAGCCTGACCTTTAATGTAGAGACCGTGTCTGCTTCCTTAACGTGGACGGGAAACAAGAATGTCTCCATTTTAAGACACACAGAATTAACTGAAATTAAGATAAAAACCACTCAATTCTATCAATTATGACCTCATATTTTGTCATTTTGTGGAGTGTACATTGGAAGTTCTGCTTTCTCTTAATTACATAAAAGTGGTCTGGTCGCATTAAGGTCATCACTGGGAGAATAAACCGGTCTAACCGCTGTGCCCTAGTTTAGACTTTTAACAACAAATCTGAAATCTACTCAAAATTGTTCATAAAGCAGCTCTTGTTTATGTGATTTATAAGACAGGGGTTTCCAACATTTTACCCCAACCTGTCTTACATTTTTAGGAAGACTGTTCCAGATTCTAGCAACATGCTTCTGTACGAAGTTTGGATTTATAATATCTGTGAGCAAGTGACTAATACATTCTGACTTTTTCTTTACATTATTGAAGATTTTACTTTCTAAATCCGTTGGGGAGCTACCTATAGGACGGCGTGGTGAGCTGCCGGTAGATCCCTAGATGTAGGTTAGAGACCCCTGTGGAAGGTATGTAAAACTAGATTCAGTTTCAGACTTCTTTATTCATCCCATCAAGGGTAATTTGTTTGAGCAGCACACGGCATAAAAATTTAAAAAACACGTTAAAAAAATAGCGACATGATATGACATGAAGTCGAGCCACAAACAAAAGAAACATACAAAGGCCAAATGACCAACAAGCTACAGAGAGTTCATCTGTCTAATACAGAATGCAAGTCTAATGCAAAAAGTGATGAAAAATAAGTTCAAAATTGCTCAAACTTAACAAAAATGTATCTTAATTTGAGCACTTTTGACTGCCTTAAAACAGGATTTGCCAATGGGAAAAGCAAAAATTATCTGGTTTCAAAAATATACTAGAAATGTCTCCCTTGGAATGAGAAAATCAAGCAAAATTTCTTGAAATGGCTTTGTCCCATTAGCAAATTTTGTTTTAAGACAGTCAGAACGAACTCGAGTTAAGAAAAAAACCACTCAATTCAAGCAATCATTACCTCATATTTTATAACTTTTTGCAGTGTAGCATTAACAAAGTTACCTGCAGATGGCTACTAAAGACAGGCCTGTTTTGAGGATTGCTTATCTCAGTTGCAACTCGTTCCTCAAGTCGCATACATCACCACCAAAGGCCCGATAATGTCTGTGAATATTGTCCCTGTCACCAAACACCACTATTAAATGAGCTGCCAGATGTGTCTCCTCTGTGTGTTTGAGCAGACACTGTCCCCTCTTTGGCATTTTGATAGTGGCAATTTATCGCCCTCAAAGTGAATATTAATAGATTTATAACCGAAAAGACTTTGCCATCCATCTGAAACCAGGAAAAAGAACAGCATATCTAATCCGTCAAAAGAATAGAGTCAGCCACAGTTTGAGGTACACTGCAAAAAAAATGATATAATATGAATAGAGTGGTTTTTAACATTCTGATTGTCGTATAACAAGCCAATGGGACAAAGCCATTTAGTCACATTTCAAAAACTGATGCTTTTTTCTGTCATTGACTCTCACTGATGTCTGTTGTCATTCTGTCCTTGAGCAGGACACTTAACCTCTGGGAACACCAAAGGCAACAGTGGGGTGGCTGCGGCTGTAAAGTGCCAAACTGCTGTTGTGTCCTTAGGCAAGACACTTCACCCCCATTGCCTTGAATGAGTCTAGTGTGTGTGAATGGTTGGTGGTGGTCGGAGACGCCGATGGCACATACTGGTTGCCTCGCTTTTGTCAGTGTGCCCCAAGGCAGCTGTGGCTACAGTAGTAGTTCATCACCACCGTGTATGGAGTGAATGAATGTGGAACGTCTTTGAGTGTCCAAAAAAGCGCTATAAAAAACCGATGCATTATTATCATTCCAGGAGAGACATTTCTTGTTTCTTGTCATTTTGCTTTGTCCCATTTTTTTTAAGGCGCCAAATATAATCAAATTAAGATACATTTATTAAACTTATTTTTCATCACTTTTTGCAGTGTAAAGAAAGATTTTTTTTTTGAGATGTGTGCGCACTATTAGTCAAGATATTTTTGTTATTTTGTGGCGTGGCGTGAAAGTCTATCACATTTACTTCTTAGTGGGTGAACATTTTACCTTTACAGAACATCAAAGCCCGAGCGAGTGGAGAAGATGAGATTATTCACTGGCTGTGTTGTCGGTGGAGAATGTTTTGGTCATGCTCCGGTGGGTGTCCCGGGCACTTTTCACGGCACTAAAATCCGCAGAAGTCCTTGGGTTTGGAGTTTTTTGGGTCCACTGATAGAGCTCGGCTAACTGTGCAAAACGGGGACAGCTGTTTTTGTTCTGCATCGCCTCAAACTATGGGCTCTAATTGGAAGTTTGTTGTGGTGGCACTGGTGGGCTTGGATGGGCTCGGTTGGCTATACTGTCCGGAGCTTGTCCATGTCCGTGTGTGTGTGTGTGTGAGAGAGAAAGTAATTGTAATGCTTGGAAACTCAGAACTGCACATAGGTAGAATGAGACCAACAACATGGAACCAATTTATACTGTCAGTCAAGTATAAAAACAAAAAAACAGCATTTGATAAATATCAGAAACATTTACAATTTTCTCTTTCCCGAGTAAAAAAGAAAAAAAACATCTCTTGTGCGGTTTCTCTTGGGGATTTTTTTTTTCAAATGTACTGCTAATAACAGATCATGTTGAAGATTATATGTTTATTTATATAGCATAGTTCATGCACAAGGAAACTCAACTGTTTTTTTTTTTTCCAAATGAACTCAAAGTTTTTAAGTCATTATTTTATACTTCTTGTATAATGGGAAAAGTTTTAACCACTTCATAGATAAGGCCATTAAAGCTGAGGTGCCAGACTTTCCTTGTTCGTGTCCCTTCTTTACCATTGTCATTAAAACATGTCTTCTGTCCGTGACACCATCCCAGACCGATTCGCATCTGGACACATGTTTTCTCCAAAGATGAAGACTTGCTGTGGTCTAATTAGTTCACTAATGTAAACTTTAAAAAAACGTCAGAAAATATCATGGTTAACGTTAAAAACGTAGGTACCCCGTCTTTAACTATACCTTATTTGTCCTGTGCATTCGTTAATGCCACCTGGGAGACCTTGTCGGCAGAAACCTTTCATTAAAGCAGAGACTTAAACCCACCATATTTTTTTCTTGGCCCTTTGCCAGGTTCAGAGGTCCCACGACAACGGGACCTCTGAACCTGGCCTCCTCCACCTTCATCTGCAGACTGCCCTGCCCGACCCGCCTGGGAGCGCTTCAGTCCTGCACCGGAGCTGTCCATGCTCTGCGGCCGCTTCGTGGCATTGGCCCTCGTTCTGTAGCTTAGGTCCTGGATCTCTAGCCCGTCCGTCCGTGTGGAACGGATCCCTTTCTCAAATGTGGGTCTCCCCGAGGTTTCTCACTTTTTCCCACTGGGTTTTCTTATGAGTTTCTCCTTGCCGATGCAGGAGGGTCTGTTGGGCAGTTAGTGTCCAACTAGAAGGACTGTGGTGATGATCCAGGACACTTTAACATTTTACAAAAGTATGGACATTTGTCAACATTCATGGTCATTGGTCTCTCCCTATGGACCATCTCATATGTGTATATTTTGTGTCTTAACTATTGAGTCTCTGATCTGTGTTGGTGATTTCCTCTGAGATGATACTGTTGTGATTTAGGGCTAAACAAGAGTCGTTGTTGTTGTTGTTGTTATTTTACTTGCCTTTAAATCAACATTTCCTCTTGATCCATCAACTCCGCTTACAGTTTTTACCATCATATCTGGCCGAGGCTCCAGCTCCCACAGTATCTCAAACAAACAGCTGTTATTTACTGATATTTCCTCTGACTGTTCTTCTCATTTCTTATTCCCTGTGCTCTCCTCCCCTTCACTTAAAACACTGGCACAGAGCTGAGCCAAATCCAACCCTTTTTATACTTGCTTTTAGTCGGACAGAAAAACGATTGGATTTCTTTAAAGATGGAGCGGGAGGCTGGGCTTGGACGGAGCATTATCCTTCAACAACCTTCAGTCAATTACACCGCTGATTAAAGGCTGCTAATGGGACGTAAAGAGCGGACCGCACACTCCGCTGCAGGAGTCACACTGCTCCTCTCAACTTCACTGATGGAGCCGGGATTAAGTTCCTTTGGGGCTACGGCAGATTTGAGGAGGCTCCGAAAATCAACCATGCAGGTTTGGGCCTAGATTTAGTGAAAGTGGTGGTAAAGGCTCGTTCATACCCACATATGTGCGTGATTTGTTACTTACGTGGCAATAAAAATGATTCTGATTCTGATTGGGTCAGAGCGTTTCGAGCGTCTACACCAGGGGTGTCATTCATGCGGCCCGCGGGCCAAATCCGACCCCCCAAGAGATTTGACACAGCCCGCGGCTCATTTATGTAAAATGATAATAATAATTATAATAATAATGAAAAAAGTAAAAAATCCGCCAGGCTCCGCGACGCCACGCGCCGCAACGCTGAGCTCAGCAGCGAGTTGAGTGCCTCTGTAGCGGCTCCCACCGGAGCGTGTTCTCTGACTGACAGTAACAGCAAAATGTCTCTATCAAAAAGGCAAAACTAAACCCTAACTTCAATCGTACTTCAGATATCAAAGTTATTTTAAATAGATTTTTCCCAGTAAGTGAATATAACTCATTTATTGTTAGTTTATTTAAAGCTTGGCTATATCACTCAGGATTCTCTTTGAATTGAATTCTCTCTGTTCAAGTAAGCCTCACTGTTGACATTTTGACGTGTAGAGTCTTAAATGAGACAGGTGTGTTTCTAACAGGGTGGCACGGTGGCTGAGTGGATAGCAGGTTCGCCTCTTAACTACAAGGTTGTACGTACGAATCCCGAAGTTGATATTTAATCTTTATCGCAATCACTTGAGTTTACTTGGTAATATTGAGTAAAGGATGTACTCGAGGAATTCAAGTGAAGTTAATATGCAATTTATTTCCAAGGTTTTTTCAAGTAAACTTTACTTGTCAGGGTTTACTGTGTGCTTGGTTTCATGCAACAACTGGCGGTGCTGAAGGAATATCATCTACAAGACTGCGATAAATACAGCACTTTGAGCGGAGAATTGAGAAGACAGAAGATAAACATGTCTGGCCCTGAAGAAACAGCAGTCTGTTTGTGCCCAGAGAGAGAAGTTAGTGATGCTGCTGCTGCTGTTGGACAGTGTGGACTGGTCCTGCGCTCGCCTGGTACCGATGGTAAAGGCAGGTGTTGTGACAAAGCTGTAAATGGAGGTGATGATATTTGGACATTTGACTGTATTTTACAGAGACACTGCTGCAGTCGTTCAGAATAGATCCCGTTATTGAAGTTGTTTTGTTCATTTCAACTGAATCATGGTCGGTTTGATGCTTTCTCTCTGATAATAACATAACCAAGGTCCTTACCTCACTGAAGATGGTTAATGTGACAATAACATAACCATGGACCTTAGGCAAGGAAAGGCACGGCAAGTTTATTTATATAGCACAATTCATACACGAGGCAATTCAAAGTGCTGAACAAAATAAGAAAGCATTAAAATCATAAATAATCACAGAACATTAAAAAGAAAGATACAAATATAAAATCCCTTAGTTGTATGCACAGCTAAACAGAACTGTCTTTAACCTGGTTTTAAACATTGTCATTGAAGAGGCCTGTCTCACATCTTCAGGAAGACTGTTCCAGATTTTAGACCTTACCACACTGAAGATGGTTAATGTGATAATAACATAACCAAAGTCCTTACCTCACAGAAGATGGTTAAGCTGAGGGGCTGTGTTAAAGTGCTTTTTTCTATCTACCTACTTTACCTTTGTGAGCAAGTTTTCTCTGTAATGAGAAAGCTAACATACAAATATTAATATAAATATTGTGAAATGCCATTTACAATGTAATATTGTAAATACATTACATTATTTGTACTATGAAAAACTCAGTTACATTTAAGTTTGTAACAGATTTACCGTTAAAACTGAGTGAGTATTAAAGGACAGTGTTTTAAAGGAAGTTTTAAATAAATGTGTTTATGTGCACAAAAAGTTCGACTTTGTACCGTTTTCGGGTATTTTTGAAGAGCATATTCTGGTCCGGCCCACTTGAGATCCAATTAGATTGTATTTGGCCCCCGGACCAAAATAAGTTTGACACCCCTGGTCTACACTATTAGACTCCTTACCATATACAACATCATGCTTTTGC